ATCAGGGTCCTGAATCAGAGCTGTGAGAGGGTTTGTGTGATTCAGCTGCTAGGCAGAGGGACACCTTTCTGACCAGGGAATGTCAAGTCTGTACACATATTTGTTCTCAGGTATTTGGCAGCAGGTCAGACATAGAGACAGTTTAAACTAAGCATAAAATCAGAACTGTGAGGTTTACTTCCAGGGACAACTACTTAAGCTGTAGTTAGGGCTACAGCTTAAGTTCCACAAGATGTGAACATATTTATGAATAAAATTAGGCTAGAAATTAAAAGGATTTTAGCCATGAGAGGAGTGAGGTTCCAAAATAGCTTTCCAATGAGAGTAGAAGGGTTCAGAAGCAGTCAAAACAGTCTGAGATTGAGATTTACATGATACAGTTGCTGAAATATTGAGGGACATGGGCCAAATACTCGAAGGTATATTCCCACCCTGTCTTCCCTGCTTGCTTTCCTTTTGAACCTCTCTGTTACTCTAATTTCTCCTTCTCTTTTTTCCTGTTCTTTTTCTACTTGGATGACAGGCCAGAAAATCCTCTCTGTGCATTTTTCATGTCACTGTTACATCCATTTGGTGGAACAAAGCAAAGGCAAATCCCATCCTGGTCCATCTCAGTGGGCTCATTGGAGTCTGCAGGCAGAGCCAGCATGGGGCTGACCCTCGGGGCACAGGAGCAGGGGCTGTGGAGGCCATCAGGCCCTGGTGACACAGCAGAGTCCCTGCTGTCCTGGTGCATGGCTGCTTCCCTTGCTCTGTGCCACTGACACACTCATGCCTTGGCAGGCATTCAGTTTCAAAGCTCTGGATTTCTGCTTGGGAAAGCTGATGACACAGTATCTACCCAAGAAGACTGTTGAGGGGTGAGATTCATTTAGGGGATGACTGCTGTGTTTCTGTGCAGCAGAAAGGTGCAAAATGCAGTGAAATACACCTTCAGCTGTAGTGAACATCACTGTAAAGAGAATATTCTGTTTAATTGGAAAGAGAGAGGCAGACCAGATAGCACTTTTGGGGGGAAGTAGGAGGTGCCCTCAGGACCCAGTGCCAGGAGCTGCAGGGCAGCTGCACCTTGACCTGCAATTGGCACTAGCTGTGGGTGCCCATCATGTTTGAAATCCTGTCTTCCCATGCTCAAGAGAGCTGCTCTAAGGCAAAACAACAGTGCCAGGATCCCTGCACTGTACCACTGGCACTGCCACAGAATGCCAATCAATCCTGCGCCTACCTCTAGACTCTGAAATGGAGCTTGCAGAGAGTAACTTGTTTTAACATACAATAAACCCAAAGAGGGGCTCTTTGGCAGGGGGTGCTCCTGGCACTGGCTGCTTCAGCTGCACTTGTGCCCACTTGCAGGGACAGGATTTTGCAGCTTGCTGAAGAGTTGTTTGTCTTTCACTACATGTTTTTCTGAAAAAAGCGAGCATGACTTGCAAGAAGTTTGGCCAGTTAACACAAAAGTGATTTAGATGCTAGTCAGACCTTGTCACTTTTTTCTTCTATCACTCTGTTGCAGCAGATGTTTGGGTCATGGGCAGCCACCTGAGAAGTTGCCACAGCTCTGTTAGTTGGCATCAACACCTTCTTTTCACAGAAAGAAAACTGTTGTTTTTCACTGCTTGGGCTGCAATTTGACAAGCACCTCAGCTGTGTATCAGCTAGCTGCCATTGGTCATACTCTCCCCTGCATCCTCGCCATGGGAGCCTGCCTCCTTCCTCAAACAGCTCCAACACTCACCAGCTCCAGTGCCCTGGCATTGCAGCATGCCTGACTGGCAGAAAGATATTCACCTTCAATTTTAGCAGGCCAAGGGGGAGGTCCAAATTCACAGGAGCTGGCCAGAGTACAGCCAAGCCTGAGGATTCTGCAGTTAGGTGGGCTCAGGTTGATGAGGAACACCATCCATGTGTTGCTCACAATTTGTGGGGAATTAAAAGGCATCCAGTGGCTTAATTAACCTTGTGTGTGATCCTGCTGTAGCTTTTCTTAATTGCCACAGCAATAAATTCAACTTCTTTCTGTGGAACTTGGTCATTAGAGATGATGCCCCACTACAAACATATCCTTCCTAGTACAATATGAACAGCTGAGTGAAGGGGACTATTGGAACTATCGCAGTTTTCTTCTCTTGATCAGTGTTCTGTGGGTTTTCCCTTGTTGGAAGAATAAGTTGATACTAATTAAGATGAAAGCAGAATACAAAGTGGAAACTTCCAAAGTGTCTGTCACTTGCATTTGTGCAAATTAAAACATCTCACATCCAGCAAACCCAGGGCCTTTCTTTTCTTCCTGGAGATTTTGTATTCCACAACCAGCCTGTGGAGCGAGATGTGTGCTGTCATCCTGCTCACTCTGATGCAGCCCATGCTCTGGTAATCCCACAGCACCCAACAACAGGCTCGTGTCCTACACTGGCAGCTGTTTCACCATCAGGTGCCTGCGGGAAGGGCTGCCAGCTACAAGCACCTCTAGCAAAGGCAGGAGGATGTGACCAGGTGTCCTTTTGGAACTATAAACCCTCTGAGTGGCTAGGCAATATTCAGAGCCTTTACATTTTTTGGATTTTTTTTCCTTTTCCTTTGGAAGTTTCTGATGAGATTTAATCTTTAAAAAAACCCATTTTATTTACAGCTAATGATGTCAGAATCTTGTTTGTCTAATTGTAATAGAAATAAAAAACACCCAAACCATTTTCACAACCTCAATCTCCCTGCATTCTGTGGCCATAGACCTTCCTGCTGACTCCTTGGGGATGTTCTTGCAACATGGCCCATTGTTGTTTGGGCAGTTTTTGCAGTTTTTTCCCTAACACAGACACACATCTAACTTGTGTTGGTTTTGGCCATAGAATCCCTGGCTCAGCCCATCACTGGGCCCAGAGGCTGGCCTGTTGCATTGGATGGCTGCTACTTTTATCTCATACCACAGAATTATAGAATGGATTGGGTTGGAAGGGACTTTAAAGGTCATTTAGTCCCAACCCCCCCTGCCATGGACAGGGACACCTTCCACTAGGACAGGTAGCTCAAAGCCCCATCCAAACTGGCCTGGAACACTTCCAGGGATGTGGCATCCACAGCTTCTCTGGGAATCCTTTTCAAGTGTTTCACCACCCCTGCTGTAAATAATTTCCTCCTAACATCTAATCTAAAACTCTCCTTTTTTATTTTAAAACCACTTCCCCTTGTCCTATCATGACATGCATTTGTAAAAGGTCTCTCTGCCTTTCTTGTAGGCCTCCTTTAGGTACAGTTTATTAGGTATTTCACTCTACAAAGGGTCTTAACTGAGCCTGAAGGACATTTTCATAGTGCTTTAGGCAGAGCAATTTTGAGTAAGACAGATTAAAGCCTTCCAGTATTATTAGTTCTCTTGCAGCAATGGGTAAAGTATCAGATCTTAGAGAAACACTTATCAGCAGTAATGTACTTCTCATAAAAATCTGAGCCTAGAAATAATGAAGTTCTTCCCTTTCTGGAACACCCTTGATTATCATAAATCCAGAGGGATAGTTACAACCTGCATGATGTGTCCATGCACATAACAAAATTTTGCATGGTGCCAAAATATTCCCTGTAGTTGGAGGGATCATGTAATTAAAAAAAAAAAGAAGAAATTGTCCAGCAAGGTGGAAATCATCTGGTTAAAATGAATCATGATTGAAGGAACTGCCTCAGGAGCAGAAGGAGCTCAAAGAGTCAGCAGAGCCCATGTTCTGGGTGCTAATGATAGTGCCTACTGATCTGGCAGAAATGTGGGCATTTATATCTCTCATACATAGAAAGGTATGTCAGCTGAAGGGAAAAAACAGCTGGTATTCCATCAGGTTAGACCTGATGGACACATAGAAGCTAACATAGTATCTGTGTGCAAGATACCCCTATGTAATGCCCAGACCACAGAATAATCTGTAGCAACCTGACTTTTTGGTAAAGGACTTTATTTAATGAGACAGATTCAGTATTATGAGAAAGAAGAGTGTGGGGAGAAATTCATCAGATGTTTCTGGTAGCCCAGTGAACTACAGGTATATTTTTCTGCAGCTCTCATTGCTGCTCCATCCTGTCATCACATTGCTGGATGCTCTGCCCCTCCATGCTTCCCTCACTTCACTGACCATTGCTCACATTGGCAGCAGTGTGTGGTGCCTCTTCAGCCTCCAGCCTCTGCACTTCAGCCTCCACCTCTGCATGAGGTTACTGTTTTGGATAATGTGGGCTCAGAATGAGCCATGGATCTGTGGAAGGTTTCCTGTGCTCTCCTGCCTATTCCTTATTGGACTGTAGTTTCAAATGTACAGTTTCATTAGGAAAGCCCATAACAGAGATTGCTTTCCCACTCTTTCCTGTTTATATGATACTGCTTCTGTGTGAAGGGCAGAATGGTCTTTTTCCTCTCTGCATTCCCAGCAAGACATTTATAAATGCATAGTGGCCACTTTAGTCTAATTTTGTAGTGTCTCTGTAGGAGTGAATATGGAGCTAAGGCAGTCCACTGGGGCCTAAGAACACTGGGATCAATCCTTCACCTAATATACAGCTAATTTGGGTAATTTGGTTCACTTCCTTTTTTATCCTAGGTGTCTTTTGAAACTGGGGACAATGACCTTTACCTAGGTAGGACCACAGCAGGCAGGGCTGACTGCTGCAGCACTGGGCATCGCCCCCACAGCTCCAAGCTCACGACCTCTGGCAGCAAGACAGGAGATTTCAGCCCAGGCTTCCACACTGGTGCTTTCTGAGATGTCCACAGCTGTGCCTGCTGGCTGTGCTGGCTGCTCCAGGTGTGTGCAGGTCAGGCTTGCTCATGTACTGAGCTCGTTTTTGGGATGCTGTGGGCAGCCTGGGGAACAGACAGCCCAGAGCCTCTCAGTGCTCTTGTAAGAGAAGCAAGAACCACTTGCTAAAACTTCCTGGGCTGTCTTTTATTCCTTTCTCAAAAGAGAGGAATGTTTTGAAGAGGTAGAGCTGCTGCAATCACTTGGTGTCTGGACAGCCTGGTATTTTGTCTGGTAAGGACACGCACCAGGCATCCAGAAGGACAAGGCAAGAAGAAGCACAGAAGGGCAACAGCAGTAATCTCCCACCAAGAAAATCTCCCTTGGAATCCCCCATGCTGAAATACTGCAGTGAACATGATTTATATCTGAATTTGTGCTTGTGATGTACTTGTAACCCATTAAAGTGCCTATCCTTCCCTTGAGTCTGCACTTGGATTCCATTCTCTACATAACAGTCGGTGACAATGAGTTTCCCTGTCTAGTTATTTATTGTGGGGAAAATTATTCTTTGAATTACCAAAGACTTCATTTGCTGAATATCCTCTGAATCTCTGCTAAGAATATTCTCTTTTCTGTATCAGTTCTACAGGACTTTGGAAGGATGCCATATGCTATATGGATATTTCAGTATTTTATTTTCCTTTGGAGCCCTAGTGTTGAAATTATATATGGTATTTTTTATAAAAAACAAGTAATATATTTTCTATCATGATCATGTCCTGCTCAAACTAGAAGAAAAAAAAAAACAACTTTTTTTTACTTAAAATCAGAGACTCATAGAATCATTTAAGTCAGGAAAGGCCTAAGTCATAAGCTTTCCTTTTTTTTTTCCTGAGTTCAAGCCACAGCTCTCTTGAGCAAGGTCACCAGCTCATCTTTTGGCACATGTGGACCACATAAAAAATCTGAATTCAATGATTGATTCCCATTGTTTTATATTACTAAATTTTGAAACTTTTCAGAGACTGAAGATATAATTAAATGTACTATTAGATTTTTACCTGTTTGATCTTCTATCTTGGCTTAACTGTTGACTTCTTTTGTACTATATTTAGTCCCTGGGTAAGTACATGCCTATAGCATTGAATCACTTCCTTACGGAGAAGACACATTTCCAGATCTAGAATTAAGTCAGTGTGACTAGAAGTCCTTGAATATATACTGCATTTGGATTTCATCTGAGTTTGCTTCTTACAAATATTCCTTTCCCTTTTAGCTTATTCACTCACATGGAGTGGATATTTTCAGTAGCTGCTTGGAAAACAGGGTGACTTAGATGGGCTGGAGCAGATCTAAGGCTGAGATTCAGGAACTTTGCAGTGCATTTGCCTAGTGAAGACAAGGAGCTAAAGACCAGGGACTAATTTATTCAACAGTGATTATAATAACATTTTATTCTCTGCCCATAGTTAACCAATTCATTCAGAAACCACAGAAGCAGGAATTTCTGATGTGACAACCTTTGGGTCCCCTAGGTGTCTTATGTGCAAATAGCAGGGCAGAAATGAGGAAAAACTGACACTTGTGTGAGAGTTTCGGGTACTGACTGCCACTTACATTTCAAACTTAAATAACCATATTTTTTCTGCTTCAGAGGCTGACTTTGGATGTCCTTGAAGTCTGGAATTATGCATTCTGGCAGGCAAGTGGAGAAATGAACCAGATGCAGCAATTTAGTCATATAGGGAGGTTTCTAGTAAATTTTGCACAACGGGGTAGTGACAGTGTACTTAGTAAAGACCCATGCCTTTGTAAAAATAGTGCTATTGATTTTCTTAGCGTGTGTATCAAATGTTAGCACATTCATTAGAACAGCAGCCTTCCAAACACTGCTGTAGAACAACCAGCAGGCCTGGAGTCAATATCCATCTGAATACTGGCTCACTTTCAAAGGGCAAATTAATATTAGGGCATTGACTTTTCATGTTAGAGAGGAAAGATTTTAAAGGCAGCATTTATCAAGTAGAGTTAGGCAAGATTTAACAAATACAGCTAGGTTGCAGGCCCTACTTGAACAGGCAAAGGTGTGTGCATGCAACCATGTACAGCACTAGCAAAAAAGCTTGTTTATGCATATATATATATATATATATATATGTATGTATGTATATATGTATATATACACTCATTTAGGGTATTGGTCTATTACAGTTACAGGAAAAAATGTGGAAGATACTTATGTAAGGAAACTGTCAGTTCTAAACTCCTGTGTGAGTATATTGAAATATCACTGAGTAGGAATGTAATGTATTACAGTGATTAAATAAATACTGTGTCTGTGTCCTCATAATGTAACTTCTTGTACAGTGCTGTGAACAAAGCAGCACATTAGTCCAAATATAACCTTGGCTGGCAGTAGCTTTGCAGGAACAGAATACAGTCCACTGAGTCTGTTGAAAAAGAGCTAACAACATAGTGAAATCAACTTTTATTGTCTCTCCTTGTAAGGATGAGAGATGAAGGAAGATGAGTAAAGGTCATTCCACTTCTCATAAATTTACTATGAATTTGGGATTTACCTGTTCTTAATGCTTCCCCTTTGTATCTGTTTGTGCAATTATTCAAACTTTCATGGTCCCTGAGGAAAGGCCCTCAGGGAATGTGTTTGGTACTTGTGCCCATCTTAATTTGCTTCTGTATTCTTAAACCCATGAGGATGAGCATGTCTCTGGAGAACAAGTGGTCTCATTATCAGGTCACTACTTGTTTCACCCACTAAACTGTAGGCTTATCTAATTTCTGGGGGGTTTATTTGGTTGGTGTGTTAGTTGGCTGGCTGGGGTTTTTTGAGTTTTCTTGTAACCCATTTGACAACATTGCTCCACTGTCAACAACCTACCTGTGCTGTGGGTGGGGAGAAGAGGAGGTGAAGATTTACATTGCTGTAGCTACCAGCAAAAATTGCCCCTTGGAAACAAGGCCAAAGCCACCTCCTGAAGTATCCCACTTTTGTTTCTTACTTAGAGAGGGGTGCCGAAGCTTCAAAGCTCTAACTGAAGCACCTTAGTTAGGTGGTAGAGAACAGGATTGTGCCCTTACAGGTAGTTATACACAGATTTTAGCAGTGTTGATTGACCCTTCAGAATGTCCAGCACTGCTGTGACTGCAGAAGGATTTGGTGCTTTGGTGAGGTGCCTGATCACTGGTGATGCCACAGTGGTGGCTCCCAGCAGTCCCATTGTGTCTGAGCAGGACTGCTGCTACAGATACTGAATTCAGTGAAATCTTCACAAAATCCCAGGTGGATCTCTTCCTGCTTCCCAGTCCCATGCTGCAGACGTTGAACTGCATTTTCCTTCCAGTCTCCATTTTCCTTACTTTCTCTTTTGTAATGCAGAGTGTCAGTCTAAGAGGATGATTTCATTTGTTTTATTGTTTACAGGTCTTGTTAATTTTCAACCTACATGCCCCAGTGAGTTGTTTTGTGAGCTTTCGGTTTTGCAGTTTCTCAAGTCTCAGCAGTCACACACTGCAAAGTGCTTTTGTGGTATTATTGTGTGCAAACAGTTAAACAAACATTTTGGAGGTACTCTATGTTTCTAATGGAAACAAAAGGTTTCTGTCTCTGTATTATTTTCTCCATTCAGATGTCCTTGTAGCTGGTACTGGATGCCTCTTTCCACTGTGTATCCCATTTTGAACCAGATTCAAGTGTTCTTCATGGTGAGACTTCTGTTGGCTTATTTATTTCATGTTGAAGGCATTATTACTGCAAATGAATTTTACTCTTTGCTCAAGATGCATATCCCAAATATTTTTATTTCCTGCTCCAGAAAAAAAGGCCATGGCTTTGGGCAGCCAGCCTGTGTAAAGGCCAGTTTTATTGTTCCCCACAGAATATGACCTCTCTGAAATCTCTCTGAGTTCCTGAATCTCCTCCTCCACTGTTGCCAAAGTTGTGCTCTAGAGTCTGAGGGGTCACCCAGAAATCCTTACCATTATGATGTATTGCATTTATCTTGTCTTCTTTGATGAATGCTGAGCAATAATGTTAAACCTTTCTTCACTTCCCAGCAGGATAGATTTTCATCTGGAGTTTGGTGTCTCCAAAATAAATCTGAGATAAAGTCATCAGCAGAATGAGCAAATGGAGCATTGAGGGGTAAATATGAGGCCCAGTGGGGGTTTGAGTCTTCCTTGACATTATACCACCAAAAAAGAACTATTGTAACCAGCAAAATTAATTCAACACTTCTTTTCCACTTAAACCATAGGTTCAGAGGGTGACTTTAAATTCATCTTTTAGACCATTAATTCACAGGTGGCAGCAGATTCAGGATGAATTTTAAATGCTGATTTGAGAAACTTGACCCCTGTGGCAGAAAAGTTGAGCTTCAAAATGAAGTGCCCAAAATATGAACTCCTCTCTCTGCCTGACTTTATTAAATAAGACTGACATTCTTTAGCATGGTTTTAAAACCCTCTGGATCAAGGCTGGCATGGATGGGCAATATATTAAACCAGAGTTATTTAGGTAACCTTTTTCCTCCTTAACCTTCTTCTCTTTTTGAGAACCTTGTAGCTAACTGTGGCCAGTCTGGGATCTGCCATGTGGATTGCAGAGCTCTGAGAAACACAAAGTGTAGGCACTGTGTGGAAATTAACCAGATTACCAAGCTCAGATGACTTATAAATGTTAGCTTTTAATGTTCTTTTTTAAAAAAATAAAAAGAAAAAATATAAAAGAAAAAATTCCTTTAAAAAACCCAGATCCTTTTGGAGCATGACAAACAAAAAATGTAGCATTAATTAATCCCACTAAAATTTCCCTTTGAAAATGCCTTCCTGTAAGTAAAACACAGTCCCCTAAAAGTGTTTTCTAGAAGGAAAAGGTTCTCAGTTGGCCACTGAGATAATAAGAGAAAATTATTTTTGGAACCATTTGCAGCCAAAGCCCCTCAGAGGAGCTCCTTGCTGCTTTGATAGCTGGACCCTTCCAGTGTGGAAGGAGGAAAAATCTGGTTTTGCCATGGCAGCCCCAGCCACCCTGAGCCTACACCCACAGCTCAGCCTGGGCCCATTTCTAGGCTGGTGTGAGATGTTCCCAGCTGACACAGCTCTGCTGAGGCCTGAAATTCACTCCCTGCCTTCTCTAGGCATGAACACATCAGAAAGGGGGAAGTGAGACCTGTGCAACTCTCAGGGATGAATGGGACATGGAGCTGAAGTGGAAGGAATGGTAGAAAACTGCTCAGAAATCAAGAGGAGTTCTGCATTTTATGAACTTGATTTGTGAAATTACCCCCAGATTTTATTTTTTTGCTCAAAAATGGGCTTCTTCCTGACAAGAAAATTATCTGTTTGAAGTTTAAATTACTTGGAGATTAAATTAAAAATTAGATTTCTGGATTTTAAAATTTCATTTTAATTAAGTGTTGCAGCCCTTTGGAATTCAAAGAAACTGAAACTCTCAGAAGACAAATGGCAGACACAATACTTGAAATTTGATGAAACAATTTTTCCCTTAATTTTTCCAATTATATTAAGAGGTCTTTGAGTTACAAAGCATTAAAAAGCACTACTGAGGCCAGAGACATGCTAGTGAAATATTGTTTCTGTCATGTGGAGCCCTGTACAGAATTGTGTGGGCTTAAATAAATGTATCTTGATAGTTTACCTTAAAACTCTCTGTCCTTTTCCTCAGTTCAGCTGAATCCTATGAAATAGATACGCAGCTTGAAGAAGTTCTTCACACCCCCACAAACGCTAAAAATGGCCCTGATACAACATGTATTTATGTAACAAAATCATCTGCATTAATATCTTCCTTTCCTTTCTGCAAGAAGCACAGAAGGGACCCAGGCTGACACATTTTCCTGCAGCCCCTTCCAGTTTTCTCCTTGCATTTGGGGCAGCAGGGCTGAGCTGTGTTTTCCCTTAACAAAAAGGCCACTGAATAAACAGGAATTTGGTGTGGCTGTTAATAGGGTCAGCTGCAAACCTGTAGCCCAAGCTTTTGGGTTTTCTTCCCTTGAATATTCAGTATCCTGTTAGGGATCAAAACTGTGTGATAACAAGAGTTCTCGTCACTGCTGTGATACTGATCTTTCAAATAAAGAACGTATTAAAACAAATATATTTCTTTCACTTTCCTGAAAAGACAAGGGACTGGTTGATGGGTTCAAATGTGATGTATTGAGTTGTTAACTTCTTCTTTATATCTGACAGAATGAAGGGAAAAATGGCCCCACCTGGCAGCTGCTTGCTGCCCCGTTTGTCACCATCATGGTCAGGTGGCTGTCTGCTCTCTAGGTCCCAGTGATGCCCCAGCACCTGGGCAGGTGTGCAGCTTGAGGAGAGGGCTCAGGTGCTGGGGAAACAAAGCCACAGGCTCTGTGTTGGCCTCATTTTTCATATGGAGACTCCTGCCCCAGCTCTGCTGTTCCTTTCTGGATACTGAGAGCTGGAAGTGTCAAAGCCCTTCCTCATGGCACAGCTCAGCAGGATGGCTCCCAGCTGCAAGCTGGCTCCTTGGAGGGGAGTGTTATTCCACAGGCTGTCCTGAGAAATGACCAGAGTGACCCCCTGAGTCTGCTAAACCAGCACTCACTGCCCCAACCTGCTGCCTGTTGTGGAAATAAATCCTGAGCAGCAGTGAAAATCAAACCAGTATTCTCAGCAGCAGCTGTAAACTCGATAAGCTCTCTGTCCTCCTTTCCCTCCCCCTGCCCCATCCCTCCCTTTGGAGTTGAAATAAAGGCAGAGACATGCTGAGAGAAGCAGTGCAGTGCCCTGTTTGCAGGATAATATGCAGACCACATGTATGTATTAAAGACTGTATGGAGTTATAATTGAGCCAGGAGCATTTAAATGCAAGCCAAGGGGAATTTGCTATTCTGTGTGGGCAGATTTCAATTGTAAGGTTGGCAGCTCTGGTATCCTGTTCTCTAATACCATGAGATGAGAAAAAACAGGCTTTTCTTTCAGAGCAGTTGATTATTGAATCCGCACCAGCTGTTCACCCTAATCCAAGCTTTCTGTGCTCGTTCCTTGTAACAGAGGCGTCCCTCATCCCTCCCTCCATCCGTCCATCTCCCCACTCCCATTTCCATGGGGCTTTTGTGATCTTTCAGAAAGGTGGTTAGCAGATATCAGCCACCCAAAGCAACATGAGCATCAGTGCAGGCAAGGGTTAGAACTAACAAGAGAAGGAAGCCCCCCCCCCAACTGGATATTGAAACTCAAATTGTGTTTCACATCCATTGCAAGATGGAAAAAAAGCCATCATTTATCAGAAGGCAGAGAACCATTTTTTAACGGTGACACCTGACTGTGTGCCCAGCAAACTGTGTGGGATCAGAGCTGGAGCGAGTCCTGAGCCAGCACAGAGTGGCAGCTGTCCCTGCTGCCCCACTGCCAGCCAGGGACCTGCACCCAGCCATGTGGCAGAATAAAGGAAATAGAACTATTTTGTTTCTTTTTTTTCCTTCCTTTTTTTTCTTTTTCATAATAAAGGGGGAGGAAGGGGTGAGATAAGTGAGTTCCTTCTGGGTGCTTCTCACTCAGCCTGCAATGTTATGTAAGGCTGGTACAGCTAATGCCTGCTCTGCTTCACCATCAGCCTGGCTGCTTCATCCCCACTACACAATTATTTCATCAGTCTCTCCTACTAGACATCACAGTGCTATTGCCATTAGTCACATTTATTAGGAAAGCAGCTAAAATAAAATTAGCAAGCACAGGGGCCCAGTTACTCAAGGGACTGGGTGAACACAGCTCCAAGTAGTCCCTGTCCCAGAAAGATTCTAATCCCCTGGAGGAGGAGGACTAGGGACAAGGGGGTGACACACAGGACCCCAAAGAGGGCTGTGAAAGCAGCAGGAGGAATGCTGTTTCCCTGAAGAGCTTTGGCAGGGGAGGGTGAGTCTAAGTCAGAATGAGTCAACTGGGAATAAAAGGCAGCAGGAGAAAGGACATTGTAGGGGAAAGTAGGGTGGTGGAAAAGGTAATACAGTAAGTGACAGGCTGAAGAACAGAGGTTGATGGTGGGGAAAAAAGACAAGTTTATGCAAAAAGGCAACCAGCACAGCAAATCCTCCCTATCTGCCTCTCCCCTGACCATTTTTTCTGCTGCTGCTGCTGCACATTTTTGCCCTCAGTGCAGTTTCCTCACAGTGTTCCTCTGTTTGAAGGGTGCCTCCTTCCCTGCTCACCGTGTCCTCCTGGGCTCGGAGGATTACCCCACGCTCTGTGCATGGGCAGCCTATAGCATCCTCTCTGGAAATCTTGGCTGAATCACAGAGGCTGTTTGTAATGCCAGAACCATGCAAACTGAAAAGCTGCATTAGCACTACAGATTGCATGTACAGATTTGGAAAACAGAATACGGAATGTTCTGGGGCATCCTGGGGAAAATGGACTGGATGACCTGAGAGAGGACAGACAGACAGGCATGCACAATTGCATTTCTGCATGTTGTGGGCATGTGGATGGAAAAATGAGCCCTTGAACTGACTAGTGGACTTTCAGGAGCTGGAGATGCCAAATGGTGTATGTCATTTAGCTATCAATTTAAATCAGTGTATCTGGACACTTTATAGATAAAACTCCATAAAGAATTGGCTTGGCAACTCATTAGATAACAGACCTTAATATAAAAGGATGTCTGAATGTGATTCTTGGATGAGTAGGGAGAAAAACAAGAAAGTGCATATTTTTCCTTTGGAAATGGCATTGACAATACTTCAAGTGGGTTGCTGGATAATGCTCAGGTGTCCACATTTTCAACAGAATATTGTAAAAATGATGAAGTTGCAGAAAATATTTCCAAAAAGATTTTGAGAAAATAGGATTATAATTTGATATAATACTTTCTATTAAAAAACTTGGAATACCTAATCTGTTATGCTCATCAAAAAGAAAATTGAGAAGTGTTCTGATTATTGTGTCTGTAACTTCACAGTGAGAAAATACCAGCTACTAAAGAATGCTTTAATTTAGTGGAGAAAAGCATAATAAGAAACAATAGTTGTAATCTGCAGCTGACCAGAAAAATTTAAAAGAGAAACTAAAAATAATTATCTTTTTAACAGAAGTAATTATTTCTGAATGAAATTCTAATTCACCTCTCTGTCAGATGATGATTAAACTCTTCTCATAGAGGTTCAGTCAAACACAATCTTTCTGTTTTGCTGCCAATATTAGGTATTGGGTGAGAGTTGATGGTTCGTGTTATAACTTGGTGGTGTTTTGTTGCCTAGAACTCCATGAACAGCTTATGTACCCACCAGAGCTAAAAGCTTTGTATTCCACCCACTTTATCTGGTTACATGCTTTGTTGTCAGTTCACAGGTAGAATATAAGATAATGGATCTCTACACACTTGCAGAGCAGTTAGCCCAAATCCTGGAGATCCTCCCATTCACCTGGTGAATAGCTGTAATTAAAATTTAAAAGCTTACAGCCTTAGTTTCAATCAAGACTAATTTCCAAGGGTATTCTTTTGAGCTGATAACAACAGGAAGGCAGATATGAAGCTTATATGAGTTGAGGGAAAATTGGACAGAAGAGAAGTGTTAAATTGTCAATATGGAATGTTCCTTAAATCTGGCACTGAGCAAGTACCTAAAATGGTTAAAACTGACACTCAGTTCTTTGCAAGTACTGCCAGAGGGTGGCTGCTGTAGTGCTGGGAACCACTTGGTGTAGAGTAGACGCTGTGTGGATTCTGGATTAAACAAGTATTACGTGAAGTCTGCAGTCAGGGCTGGATTCAGTAATTCAGTTGCTTCAAGTCATATGGTCCTAAAACATCTGCTGCTGGGCAGAGCAGGTATGCACCAGCAGGAGCTCTAATCCAAACCCTGCAAACACATTTGCTTGATCCAGTGTGTCTCCCATTGCTGAGGGTGCTCCCTGAATAGTCTGACAGGAGAGCTGGTTGGCATGAACCTTGGTGTCAACAACAAATAAGAGCAAATACCCAAATTTAGGTTTAATAGACATAGTGCTTCATAAGGCTGCTGAAAATGAGCCACATTTGCCAGGCTGCTTGTTTTACTTCTACCACTCCATGCGTCCTGTCAAAAACTGGGAAAGAACATCCCAGTCAAACAAAAGCCTGGTACAAAGCCTGCCCAAATGTGAATCAATGCAGAGCCCCTAAGTTCCTGTGGCCCAGCCCCACTTTTGGCAAATTTACCCCATGATGAATCAGGACTAAAGTTGTCACATCTCTCAAGCCTGTCTTTCTGAGCACAGCCTGCTTGCTCCTTTCTCACACCTTCAAACGCAGAGCTTGCCCATTTTGTACACAGCTGCCACAGTTTGATTTGCTTTGTGTTTATGCCTTAAGCTTTGCCTCTCTGTTTCCATGTCCACAGCCCCAGTCTATTTTATGTCATCTTATCTGGAATGCCTGGGAGACAAACATCCCCTTCAGTCAGCAGGCATGAGGGCATCAGGGCTGCAGTGACACAGAAGAACCACACTTCATTTCCCTGACTGGCTCTGGTGGTGGTTTGGGGTGATGGGGTGTCCTTGCACTTGCCATCCCACCCAGCACCCCATCAGCTGCAGCTGGGCCATGGATCCCAGGGTACCAATCTCTGGCACTGCCTCCCATCCATCATCCAGGGAAGCTGCTGATGCAGCACGGCAGAGAACAGCCAGCCTGACAGACACAGTGAGCACCTGGCGTCGGCACCCTGCGGCTCCCAGTCCTTCCACAGGCACCCCGGCCTGGCTCCCAGCCCTGAGCAGTGGCGCACTGTGTGGGAGCGTGGGTGTGAGTCGGGAGCTGCACTTTGGGGCGGGGGATGCAGCTCTGCGTGCAGTGACGCTCCGGGGGCTGGGCTCTGCTTCCAGAGAGGGAGGGAGCGCCAAGGTAACCACAGAAACATGGTATCCTTGGATATTAGCAATCCTGACCTACTTCTGGGTATTCACTCGCTGCTGGTGACTAAAGAGGAGTAAGATGGAAGGCTTAAAGCTCTGAGAGAAAAAAAAAAAGGGATCTTTCCATCATTTTCTAGGATCAAGACTATTCATGATAATGTTCAGCTAATTAAAATCTTTAAGTTTTATTGCCTTGCACATCATGCTGTTTTCATCCCTGCTTTATATACTATAGAAAATATTTTAATCATACATTGTTGAAATATAATGGCAGAGATTGTTATGTATAGGGTGTAGATCAGAGTGACTGATGGGGGTGTCATTATGCATGTATAACCCAGTCGTTGTCAGTGGTGTTAATATCGCTCTGCATTTCATTTAGATCAGTGAGAAACCCTTTGCCTCAGTTGCAGGTCTACTGGTGATCCAGATCCAGCTCTCCACTTGCATCAGTAAAATCACACTGTTGTAATTGCAGGAAAAATCAAGCCCTGGATTCCATGTGGAGAATTTACACTAGCAAGTAACTGGGAGCAACTGAGTCTGTCTGTTTTATACCAGATTAAATACCTATTTCAGACCAAAAAACAAATGACAGGGAAAACAACTGTGAGATGCACAGTCATCCCTAAACTATCAAGGGGAGGGGTTTTTTGATAAACAAAACCAGCTGGGGAGGCAAGAGTGCTGTCTGGTGTTGGGCTCTAAGTGTCCATTGCAAAGCATGGAAAATACATTGTTTAAGGCTCCAGCTGAACCCCATTAAACTTTCATTTCAAGGGACCATGTACCACTGTCTTGCAAAAATCTGTACCTGGTGTGTTAATAAAGACTGAAATTGAGGTTTAAAGCCATAACTTCAGCTTCTAGTCTTTTCATATTTTTGACAGTTCTGTGACAAAAAAAAAAATAATAATGAATCAGGGCTTGTCAAGGTGTTTTTAATATTTTTCTCAGCTGCAATTCTTTTCTGCATACACAATCTCAAACATTTAGACTATGCTAGCAAAATGAACCAAAAAGAGACTGAAGGGGAACGGTAGCAAAAGTGGAGCTTTCCAGCATGACTTTTTATTAACTGGTAAATGAAAACCAGATTAGGTAGTGATGCTAATGGTGCCTGAAGTTTGTTCCAATATTGGGTATATGCAGAGCTGCCTTCTCTACAAATTGAAATACACAGATATTTATATATCATCTGCAAAATTTGCATTTCTACAACATGGTACTGACTAAAGACATGGCTTGAAGAAATCCCATGTAGCCCTTCCCCAACACCAGGCCTGGTTCAAGTCCTGTTGTTAGTCCTCAGAGCTGTAAATTATGTGCTCAGATTCTACAATTCCCACTTTATTGGTGAAAAACTTGTATTAGATGGAGGTTAAATAATCTACCAAATGCCACTCAATGATAATTTTCGCAGGATTGAGTGGAAATTCATGAATTCCCAGTCTGTAGAGTGCAAGATCAAAC